TTTGGTAATGCATATGGCAAATCATGGTCTTCATCATTTAGAATGTTCAAGTTGAATGCGTCGATTTCTTCTAAATCATTAACAACCGTATCGTTCACAAGCAATGTATCAGTATATAGTCATGTAGTCATGTAAATATCAACTACTTTTGTTAATGCTGTAACCAAAAACTATTTAATAAAACAAAAAATAAAAACAAACAATACACAATACACATTCTTACTTTGACTAGTTAATTTTTTGTTGTTTAAAAAATCTTCTAAAACTGGTTGTTTTTATCTGATTGTCTTAAAGAATTACCAGCATTATGCTTCAATGATCCATCATTTCATCTCCTTAAAGTGTTTTTGTTCGTTGCGTTATCAACGTGATCAATTTTCTTTAATATAGTTGAATGTTGTGTCTGAATAAAATGAAATGATATAACCTTTTACTTAACATTATAAGTTTTGATCAGTGGCACAACTGGGATTTTTTTTAAGGGGGAGGGGGTTATTTATTTTATTTTATTTCATATACACAAGAATACTGGGCCCCTCTGAGATGACTCGTGTGGGGGCCTAGGAAAATACATAATATAGAATAATGAGATCTATGCACTTGAAATTTGACTTTTAAAAAGCTGTGCGCCACTGTTTTTTATGTATTTTTGTAATATATTAGGTATTTGTGTGGTATTTAAAATTAATTTAACACACAAGATAGTATATGGGTCAACTGTCATAGGCAGGTATGAAATTAACATTGTACTTACACTTAAATGTTTTCTTATATTAGAGTTTGAACGTGAATCCACCTTGTAACACTTTGTACCGACACAACTTAAGCATTTCACTGCCAGTTTCTTGTAAAAAAAATTATCCTCAATGACTCTTAATAGTTAATACTTTAAAATATTTTTGATAATTTGGCCAGGATAAAATTGGTTTTTTCGAATCTGCAACCTGATCGACTTCAATTGAAGAATCGCAATCACTCATTGTATTTCAATTTAAATAAATTTAAACAATGAAAACAAGAGTATAGGGTTGATGCAATACAATTATTAACAATCTGTAGGGACGTCAAGCAGACAACAGCGAACACGATACGAATGATACGAACCCAATTAATAAATATTACAATAGTTGAATAGTGTAAAACAGCGTAGGGGGCATACATGCAATATTGTAATAGCGTATAACTGATTGTGTGCTCATGGTCGGTACGCACAAAAATAATATTATTATCTAGTAAAATTATGAAAACATGATAATACCTAATACCATGTTCCACATATTAATTATTAAGGTGCTTAACCTAACCTAACCTAGGCTATAGCCATATTCATTTATTTATAGCAGAATCAGTAATCAGTTAAAATCTATGTTTATGTTATGTTTTTGTTTATGAAACAGCGTCGATAAGGAACGCAATTAGGTCATTCAGTGAAAACCAGAGATTTTAAATACAATTATTTAAAATCTCTGCGACCAATACATAATCGCCGATTACGATAACGCTAATTGCCTATTGAATTTATACAGTCCAAGATATCCAGGTTAGGTCATTAAAAGGTAGCTCAACTGTGAGCTTCCCTTCACTGCCCCATCATTGTCATTCCTCCCTCCAATTTACTCATTGTACATAACTTGTATAGATAGTAAATTTTTCAATAAACGCTATTTAAAAAAAAAAAAAAAAAAAGATATCCAGATATAAATTGCAATACGTATAAATGATAACCATGAGTATCAAACGTTCTTATTCTTATTCAGTTTCTATCGGTTCGCAGGCAGAGTTGTACATCTTTTCCTTAGCAACGCCACCTCCTGTGCCGCTTAAAGCTTTAAATTTAATGAATGTAGAATGTATGTGTATAATACATATATCTTATCATATGTATAATATTATTAAAGATTATACCTAATGTGTGAATATTATAAAATATAAAACAATACAAATGTACATAAAAATTTTAATTTTTAATATATTGAAACCTGTCTACAACGGACAATTATTTTGGTCCCGTGACTGTCCGTTATATACAGGTTTCACTGTATCAAACATTACAAAAAATAGCTATAAATTATTGTAGACGATTGAGATAGAAACATATTTTCTGGTTCATAAATTGCATTATTTACATTTAATAAATGATAAATAAATTAAACTACTTAAACTTGGCAAATATATATAATATATAAAAATGTAATGTTATACAAATAAATCATAGATATAACTATGAATTATGTAAACCCTTAAGAAAATAATTGTTGAGCTAAAATGGTTTCATACCAGCAGCTAATAAAAAAAAAAAAAAAACTATGAATTACCTATAAAAGGTATTAAAACAAAGAATTTTTTTAATGGAATGTTTTCGAGAGCAAACTTTGAACATAATATAATCATTAGGAAAGATCACAACTACAAAACTACAATCATTGTTGTTGTTCATTAAATCATATAAGAACACGTTTGTTGATTGTTCAAAATAAAAACTTAATGAATTTTTAATTA